CTGTCGATAATATTCAAATAATAACGGTTCTAAAGCGATAAATACAACATTTATATAAATATATATTAATTTATTACGCATATAGTTCTTCAAAAATTGCTTACATTTATGTACATTCTATAGGAATATCCTATATAAATTAAGTATCATAATTATACTAAGTATTTTTGAGAATATAATTATAAAAGTAGAACCTCGTTGGAAACGTTCATACTATGTGCATTCTGCGCAATTTTGTACTTTCAAATATTTCTTACAGATTTCCTATAGATGTAAATTTCTTACAGATGCATAAAAATCCGCAATCTAATCATAATTATCATTAATACACTAAATTAAATGGATATTTATGTATATTCAACCAGTAAAACAACCCGCAAAATGATCCTTAGCGTACAAATAAAATGGAATTTGATGCGTCCGAAGAATACTATTTAATCTGGCTTAACTGAACTGTTACATGCAAGCTTAGAAACAGAACATTTTGTTTCGAAATTTACATTGTTGTATAATATTTAATCAGGTTGATATATAATGTTAATGGACAGTAATTAAGTAACATTATAAAATAATAAATTAATAATTCTATAAAGTATGATACATTTCAAAACATGTAAAGAAACTAGACATTTTTTATTAAATTAAATCAATATTAAATAAAACGTCTGATTTTCGGCGTTCGCCGGAAAAAGTTCTTGACGTCTCGATGTCAAAGTCTACAATGCCACATGAAATGGATGACGTCTCTCAGACGTCATTGTATGCCAAGGGGTTAACAATATCTTAAAAAAATATAGAAACACTAGCTGCATATATTATAGCAAAATACAATCTGAAAAATATCAAACGAAAGTACATTTGAAAGACATATATATTAAAATTTTGTACAAGTTTCATTTACAAAAATCTATCTCGCACGATTGTTTATAATACTGAAATAAATATAATAGTAATAGCTGCCTTATTATTAGTTTATTATCATTAATTTATTATTATTAATATTAGTTGCCGATTTTGTTTTTTTCATAAACTCGTATCTCGTTGGTAATCGCTTTCTTATGGGCAAACCTTGAATCAGTCTCTTCCAATTTCCATAAACTCGTTTCTCTTGATTTCTTTAGTTCGCTTAATTGCCTCAACTTGTTCAACTTCCCAAGCTTCTCGTAAAACATCTTCGTATTCAGAAAAGATTATGTTCTTACTTGAAATTATAAGTAGTAACGAAATAATAAGTTGCATCATTCTTGTGATGTATACATTATTAAGGTTTTTTACAAAATGATTTATAACTTCGTTTTACGGTTTAAAATATTTTAGTCTTCTTTACTTCTGTTTTCTTATGTTTCGCCCGTTTATTAGTTGCCGATTTTGTTTCTTCCGTAAACTCGTATCTCGTTGCTAGTCGTTCTCTTATAAGCAAACCTTGAATCAGCCTCTTCCAATTTCCGTAAACTCGTTTCTCTTGCTTTTCTTTAGTTCGTTTAATTGCTTCAACTTGTTCAGCTTCCCAAGCTTCTCGTAAAATATCTTCGTATTCAGAACAAACGACGTAACCTTCGAGTGCAGGAACTGCACCCATACTTCCAAAATTAAAGCCTACTACAGCTGGTGCACAATCAATATTAAGCTTTCGTGCTATTCGATTCAATCCTGGAACTACATCATGATACACATATTAGTCTTAGTTTTCCATGTTTATCAATCATTTCAATCATACATTTGCTGGTACATTTTTATACATATGGTACGTAATATGTATCAATTAATTCCTTAGGAACTTACGATTTATATGAACGGTGCCTTTTGGAAGCATACGTTGTTTAAATAAATCAACATTTCCATACTCATTTCGTGGAACAATACCATCCTTGGCTACTGGTGGTTCATATTCCATAGTTTGCCATTCACCAAATAATTCCAGTGGTGAGTCCTTAATTTTCATTCCTGAAAGCTATTGTAATTAAATTATTTTACAAATTTGATTATTACAGAATAAATATTTACGAATGAAGAGATTGAAATAGTTATATATACTTTATCGTATTTTGGACGAGCTTTGACTATTTTATAGGCCTCTTGATTTGGTTTTACGACTCTGGCTTCTTTTAGCCAAGTTTCTCTTGAACGAATAGTATGTACACAGTGGCGAGAGTAAATGGCTTCACCAGTAGAAGTATGTCCTAAGGGCACACAATCCGGAGGATACAATGCTTCAAATTTGAGTAAATGTCTTTGAATAACGTACAATGGATGACCTTTGATCTCGCTAAGCGTTCTAGGCAAAGGCTGCTCCAACTCCCTAGAATAAATGAAACTGTCAGATAAAGAAGTATTGTGATAAGTAAAAATATTTAAATATATAAAATACCTTTGTAATAGCATTTCATCTTCAGCTCTAGAAATAGTAGTATTTTTTTCTTTCCAATAAGACAAGGTTTCAAGCCACCATTTTTCATCAACTCGTTGCTTACGTGTTACTGTAAGCCATTGTGCACAGTAGCGTCTAGTCACGTCTTTTATTAAACCTTCAGAATTCCAAGCTACTACATACAATACAGGCTTTGTTGCTTTTTTCTATAACAGAGTGCAATTGTTATTACCATACTTCAGTAGATATAATATGAATTGGTTCATAAATTACTTACATATATTTCAGATATGCAATGGATTTTTTCATCCAATACACTTGTACAAATCCAACTTTCTTCTGATTCTAAATATATTTCAGCCCAAATATCTTGCCTTTCCTTTGTTTTGTTTGTTTGATCTTCACTATCAGAGGATACTAATTTTCTGTTTTTTTTAATAGTGTTCTTAGAACTTTGTGATGCCTCTTCTTTATCATTACTCTTCCTCACTGAACGTTTTGGTTTTGGCTGAAATTCTGCTTCAGAATCTGTTGAATCTTTTTCTATATAATATTTTGATTTTGTGCCATCAACCTTTGAAGACAAGTCTGTAGACTTTCTTGCTTTATTATCTTCAGAATTGATATTAACTTTCCGAGATCTTAATTGTCTTAAACTAGACATACTCTTTTCCTGTTCTGCAGATCTAGATTCATCTTTTTTTTCAGTACTTTTAGTATTTGATTTTTTAGTTGCTTTGCTTTCACTGTTAGAGTCTTTACTAGTATCAGATTTATTTTTGCCCTTATAAGTCTGCAATTTCGAATGTAAAATTTTAGCTGCTCTTTTTTTGGCTTCTGCATTAGCATTTTTTTTGGCCTCAGAACTATTTTGAATCACATTTGTTTTATCAAAAGCTACCTCTTTTTCTTCCTTTTTCTTTGAACTTCTCTTTTTAGTTACATTAGATTTATCTTTCCCCGCAGTTTCCAGCTCTTTATCTAATTTAAAAAGTGGGTTATTACTATATATCCGATGAGGAGGACAAAGAGAGATAACCAATCTACAATTTAACCCCAATGCTCTCAATGTAGCAACGTATAATAATATCAATTCTTTATAGTTAGAAACTTTCTTGTCTTTCAATATTTTCAATAAAGTTTCTTTATCTATTTGTTTATTACCATTACTTACAACAGGCTCAAATGTAAATACATGTATAAACCACTTTGTAAACTTTTCTAGATATATGAGATCAATTCTATCTTTTGGATAATTTGAAGTAGAAATCAATGATAATACACCAGCCATTATTTCAGGCTGATTTATCTGGTCATTTAAACGAAAGCCATAAGCCAACCAACAAAGCAATCCTACTTTCTCTACTAATATCTGAGCATCTCTTAATCGTTTCTTCAAGATTGCTTTCAAATCTGGCTTCCCTTTCTTCTTTCTGTTAAGCATTAAACAAGTACCTGGTAAAACAATCTTGACACCATCTTTTGGAATAGTGTATTCATTAGGAGGCTCAGTGTCTTCCTCGTTCTTTATTATTGCATCTTCAGAGCCTTTTTTGAAGAGTGAACCTATACTACACTCACCTTGGAGCAAAAGTTCATTTATTTCATTAGACGATGTAGTATCTTTTACCTCTTTTTTTACTTTTTGTCCATTTTCCTCTTTTTCTTGTAATATGGAATGGTCTGAATGTGATTCTTTCTTTTCAATGTTCTCATCGTTCTGTTTAAATTTTTGCGAATATTCTAAGTTTTTCAAGACCTGAGTGAAAAGTTCGATATTGTCTGTTTGACTGACATCCTCGAGATCCTCGTCATCGGTGCTCTCATCTTCAGTGTCAATCCGATCCTCAACCTTCGCAGCATCAAGCTTCTTTTTCGCGAAGAAACTAGAATTCAAATTAATTTTCCGTGGATCAACCAGAAACTCATTACTGCTATCAGAACTATCGTCTTCTGATAAACCATTCATTTCAAAAACGCTTTAAAAGCAAAAATTTTCCTTGTTACGAATTAATTTCTTGCCAACGTCTTGTATCACATTGCAACAGTTTCTTCGTTCCAAAATGTACGAAATCATGTCTTGTTTATTATATTTACTGAAATCACAATTATAAATAGAATTTTAAGTACCAACAGTGATATCATGCTTTTATATTGTGAAATTATTTTTATTTATTGAAATGTTATCTGAGTACATAAAAGATTACAGATAAATGCGTATGTACCTAACTCATATGCGCATATACGTATATGCACACAAGCCCAACAAAGTTTGAGAAAAACTTGTGTCCGTATCTAGTATTATATGAAATACATTTTCTATTCTTGAGACCCTATCCCTTTTTGCAAATTCATTATCATTATTTACTAGTAATGAATAAATTAAAATTTATTAATTTCTTTTCAAAAAGGTATTCAGTAGATTTCGGTAAAAGAATGGAGAAAACTATTGTATTTTATTAGATTTCCTCGACTTAAATGAATATACAAAATCTGAGAATAGTTAGTCAATCACATAAATCGAAAATCTGGTTATTAAAAAAGAACAATATTAAACATATTTTTATTAATTCAAAAATTTCCTATCTATTTTGTATGTGTATATAAGATTAAAAAAATATCTGTAACGGTTTACTATATCTCCATCAGAGGGCATTTTTGATATATCGATAGGTCACTCTTCAAAATAAGTGAACCTAGACCATAAATTCTATTTAAACTCTGTCGAAGGGACGCTTCTCCTTCATTTTAGATTTCGTCGATAATGGTGAGGTAAGAGTATTTTATATTTTATATAATCCACAGTCATCACGTGCATCGTTACGAAATATCATACAAATACGACATTTTTCAAGCAACAGATATTTCAGCATATCATTTACCATTATATTTTCTTTAATTTGCTATTGCTTCCTCAGAATTTTGATTTTATATTTTATGTGATGATACGTAAATAGTCTCGTTCGTATGAGTATTTCTTGATTACAACCTAGAAATACGACTCTGAATATTTTAACCTGTATTCGATTGATTTTCCTGATTTAATTTAATGAATCATTTGGAATTCGATTTATTTTTTCTTCTAGAGTTAGTTTAAAACGTTAAAATTAGTCAGAAACGTGCTTTGGATGTCCTCTTGCTGATCAACTTTAGTTTCGGCTTGTTTGCAAGTTTTCTGGTGAGTATTATTTCTTTAAAACAAGTTTAACAAAGTATTTATTTCAAAAATAGAATATCTATTTTTAATTTTATTGCATTAGCTTGTTGTCTGCTGTGATTTTCAATTTTCACTTCATTCTTCTCTAGTTATTTTTCAGTAATTTTCTGAATTTCATATTTTTATTCTCACGTTAGATCATCTCAGATTAATTTTTCAAACGCGAATTTCATTAAAAATTAGTATTTTATATGATGACATGATACTGCCCCAGTCTGAGTATTATATGAGCGATTCAGTTTCCTGAAGAGATTTATAAAAATATGTATTCAATTTATTTAATTGAGAAGTATGTAAGTTGAGTTTGTTTTTCTTTCTAGGGAAAAAATGCAAGAAATAGAGTTGCAATACATTATAATAAATTCCATTGATAATCTTGGTAAGTTTTTCTTAAATAGAGTAAAATATAATTTTAAATTAAATCTTTTTTTTAATGATTTATTTGAATGAAATATGATGATTTATATAGACCGCCCCGGTCAAGCAGAAATATAATGTAGATATTATGAATCTGAATATTTATTATATCGAATATGATTTTTACTCGTAATCTTTAATAAGAAATATATAACAATATCTGTTTACTTATTTCAGATGCAAACAATGAAAATGGTTGAATATGTATCACACCTATAATAATATAATATGTATAGTATATAAATAACTATGGGATAAAGAAGATATATAACATGAGATAGGAAAAAATTTAAACTTTGAAAAAGAAAAGAAAGATATTAGGAAGGTAATTTAAAAGCAGTTTATTTTACAACATAGGCATAAAAGTATTACAAAAATGTTTTATGATGAGTAATTTAAAAGTTATCCCTGTCTTACATGCAAAAATGGAGATATTCTTTCACTGATATAAGAATTTAATATTATGAAGTTTTGCTAGTAATGTATTTTAATTATGATTAATTCGAATTATTACTTTGCAGGAAAGATGTATTCATGAAAACAATAATTAAACCATGGAACCTTTTTTTTGAAGATAGGAAGGTAAATAATTTTTTTATTAATAGATATTTCCAAATTGCAATAGTTTCTTTATGATGATATTTGACAAGCATATGTCTGAGTAAATTTGATGTTACTTTTTTTGCTGATTACAATTTATTATTGCAATTAAGTTGTAAAATATATATTTTTTAATTTAAAAAGTCTAACATCTGTTTTTTTACCAGATTTTATAATTTACTTGAACATGATGTGTATCATTACTTTTTCAAACAGGTGAGTAACCGTATAAAAAGAATATAATTTTATTAGGAATTAAGATGATGATCTAATAATATACGCTAATATGATTTATTATAAAATGACTACATCTTGCCCTCACTGAATTGCAACTTTAATTTATGCAATTTTAATATAAATATGTTGATTTTAAAAAACTTATTTTTTGTCCATAGGTGTTTTGCACATATATTAATTACAAAGTTTAATACCAGAAGACAAATAATAAAAAGGTACAGTATGTTAAATAATTAAATAAAAAAAATTCAAATTCTGTTACTATAGTGATGCTTTTAATATACGCTATGAGCTTTAGTGATAATTAGTTTTTTCCACTGAATTTGAACTATATATATATTTTAAATTATTTAATGATATAAAACCTAATGTATTATTAATTTTTGTTTTAGATAAACTTGGAAGACGGGAATTGAATACCAATATGGATTTGTTCTTAAACTAATTAAGTCACATGTATATATACCTTTTATGAATATATACGATTTTCTAACTAAAAACTTTTGTTCTTATATGTATATATTTCTCTACAATTTATACAATACAGTAAGAAAGATAGAAGGATAGATATATTTTCCACTACTTACTTTCACCATAGTTTATTATTAGTTTTCCTTCATATCAATAAACATGTAAATTGATACTCTTATATTAGACAGCTATGCATAAGCATGTGTGCCAAGGATAGCGAATAACTCTCTATTATGGAATACAGGCCATTAAAAGACAAGGTTGTCGATTACACCGGGATAACATAGTGTTGTTGGTACATCAGTTGTTACACTGACCAGAAGGCTGATATCACTATATTGGCGATTATCACAGTGGAGATAGCTGTATGTATATGTACATTACCTTATAAAAATATTTGTACGCTTACCACAAAAACCTTTTATGCATACATTGTACGTGTTATATAAAACGTCTTGAAATAAAGTTGGGTAGGCTGATTAAGATTTCCTGTTTCATTAATAAAAGATGTATGATATATGTCATATGTGAATGATATTGTAAGGTAAAACAGAGATAGTTCGGACTAGATGAATTATTTTATTGTTAAACACAAATTCACAAAAAGCCACTGCTACTGTAAATTCAATTAAATGCTAGTAAGATAATTATGGTAGAAAGTAAGATGATTAAAACTGAAGAAATATTGAATGATCCGATATATAATTCGAGGGAATTTACATAATAAGTATTTGTTAATTTAAACGTGAGTTTAAGTGCGCCTATAATTACAAAGTCATTTGTTCATATATTTTATGTTGAGCACTTGTACTTAACTAACGCTAATGGGCAATTGCTTTTGTAAATTGCTTACTTTGCAAACATAATTATTGCAGAATTTACATATTCAAAGATAAACAAGTATAATGTACACATTTATTAAAAATTCATGTTAATAGCTATATAATACATTGAGTAAAAAATATACAATTGATAAGATAGTAAATATAATCTGATAGCGATTCGAATAAAAGTTTGTGATTTCACAATTTTTTACGAAATTATAGGTAATTAACTAATGCAAATATAACACTACCATCTATTTTTGGCTTCAAGGCCGGTTACGTGGAAACTATTCTCAAAGAAAAATATTTCAGGCATAATAAAAGAATGGACACACCAATATTTAACTAGTGCTGATTATTTACAGATTTATCTTGTTTTCGAAATTTCGATCTTACACACTTTTTTAAGAAACAATAACAATATCAGAGTGTAAGACAGAAGCAATAACAATTGTGAATCGAGAGTATTAAAATTTGGCCCATTTACATAACCGGTATTGCAAGTAAAACAATTGCATATATGCATTCTCGAAAGAACTAAAATTGCGCAGTAAAATAATGTATTAAAGTAAGACTTTTATCGAAGACCCAATAAAAAGTAACGTTTTATGCAAATGCTTGATATTTTGATATTTTTTTCTTTCTTTAATATCTCAGTGGAAAATCCTAATGTGTTACGGTTACATTAATATCAAGATCGCGACGTTTAAAGTTTGAATTCTAAAAAAGATTATTATTTAGGTTCGTTTAATATTTGCGTTGATATGGATGTTTCCTTGTTGTGTACCAGGGTTTTAGGAACCTCTAATCCTCGCACCTAATACGCTGGTCTAAGATTCTAGATTGAGACTGTTCTTTCTGAAGAGCACTTATGCATCTCTTAAATTTTTTAAGGAACAAGTTTCACCATTGGTCTTATGAGGTCCAATAATTTGCTATTTTTTCATTGTTCTTTTTTTTTGTTTTTACTAATCTAAAACAGATCAGTAAAGGCAATTGATCATAAGAGTTCATAAGCGCTTGTCTAGACAAGCTATCAGCACCACCTTTTCAATGTGAATGAGGGCACTTGTGATAATTTCGGTAATCTGTGCAAATAAGCTAAGAATTATAACCACTCTACACAGTAATAGTTACGTACAGATACTAGACATTTATCGTACACTATGCCACATGTCATAATTGTAGTTGGTAGTCGGTGAGAGGATCGAAATCCTTTTGGTGGCTGGAGTTTGATGCCATAACGTATCCCCACAAACGCATTGCAGCCGCACACACTCTTTGTATCTCGTCGACTTCCTCGAAATCAAGATCTGTTCGCCAATGAAAGGGTGCCACTTTCGAATTTCGAAAAGTGCTCGAGACACCACCCACGTCGTTCTTTGTATGAGTATCTAAAAACTTCTTCACGTTCACGTGAAAGTCCAAGCCATAGAAATTGTACAGTTCCTTCACGTGTCTATAGGGGTCTACAGATAAGTCTTCGTAACGCACCACCCTGTTAAATAAAAAAAATATTATTTTGGAATATTTGTAGAATATTTGTCATTGTGAATGTAGTTAATTAACGTAGATAATATTCATTGCGAAAGAGAAGTATACCTAAAGGTACGTGGATATTTTTTTATTAGTCGAACAGCTGCACTGAAGTCTGAAACCATGTCTGCACATACTAATGCAGGGTTAGAACAATCTGGTTCGGTCGGGCACCATTCTCGATGCTTTCTCGATTGTAAAATTCCTCTTGGATCGCGAATCAATAGAACTAAACGTATTCCTAAACTGAACAAATTATTGTTTTGAGGTTTGTCGCATTTATACTATTAATTGAAAAGAAATTGAGCTGCGTTCTTACTCTTCTTGCTCCAGGAGTTTTTCTGCAGCGCGCAATCTTAAACGGACAATTTTCATCGATTGAAAGGGGAATAATTTACAAAATTTCGAAACGAATCGTGGGTCCCAACAAATTTTTTTGTGAATCTGACACTGTTTCCATAGATGAGTATTATGATTGAAGACCCAAGGATGCGTTTTACCATAATCCAAGTATCGATCTAAGAATATTTTTTTAGATAATTATACTGAGAAAATACTTATCTGTATTATGTATTAACTTAAATACCTACCAAGATTACTAAAGTCACATCTTAATAATGCTTCCAGGTTGCTAAGAGCTTCGTCAGCAAGTGGTGGCCCCCTAATTTGTACAATTCCAAAATCAAGAAGAGGTTCATAGTGGTAAAAATTGGCCGGATGTGCGTTGATCACATCTCCAAAAAACGTACTACCACTTCTCCAGCTTGTTAAAATCACACTTCTCATGGGTCTCCCTCCTTTTTCTAATACTAAGTCTTCTAGCTTACTACAAGAATTATTATATAATCACAGGGAAAGTTTCGTATATTAACTCTAGAAATGAAAATCAATGTACCTAACATTAACTCCATATTTTCCATTGGGATATTTGTACCCTTCCATCTCTCTTTCAATTGCTTTTCTTTGTTGATCAACAACTTCTTGTATTTCAGAAAGTGTAACATTTTCAATGGACCCTCTAAAATATGCCTATAAAGCACACATAATTTATAATTAAAGTTTTTTTCCGTTTATACACTTTACATCCACACAATGCAAACAAAAATAATAGGGTATTTTTTGTAATTTCTGTCCCCGTTACCATATTAAATGTGTTAATTGTTAATCTCTTATTGTGACTGAAAGGATTAATCTCAAGATAAATATTCACTTACCTGAACATATCAAACATAAAAGAAAGAAAAGAAAAAAATAACAATTACTTTAAATTCTATTTATCATTTTTGACATTTTGCTTTAAATGTCCTTTTATTTTATACAATGGAAATCAGCTTGTAATACATATTCTACTGAACAAAACTGACAGTTTATGTAAATCTACGTGCATTCTGCTTACCGTTACTGGATCTTGAATTTTGATGATGCGTGGCCTTATTTCCACATCCTATATTGAAGAAAATATTGATAGTTTAGCATACTGAAAGTGCATAGTATATTGTGAACACGATAATGCTGCTGATGTAACCAGGACAATATCTTTCTCCCTCTTTCATTATATAGGTAGTGCATTAGTATCCAAAATATGCTAGTAGCGTGAACAGAGTTCCATGTACATTGTAAAAAGAAAATTAAAAGTGCAAAGAAGGATGTCAATTTGTGCGAAACATGCAAGACATAAAAAAATCATAAAAGAATAGAAAGCTTCATTACTCATATATACACATATTTTCCTTATAGCCATTTTTCCATAAGTAATCATTCCAAACTTGTATTACTTTGGTATAAAAGAAATTGTGCATTAATATATAATGACTGTAGAATATTAAAATATTTACAGTGTTTTTATTAATTTTTTGTACAAGATTAATATCACATTACCCTAATGATTTATTAAGCAGAATATTTTCAGTGTGTATCTTATCTAATACTGCTTGAACCAAAAAAAGAGGGAAGGAAATGGTGGAAACAGGGAGAAAGAGAGCTGGTAACTGTTTGCAATGGTTTGACAGCTCATTGTTAGTGTACGAGTGGAAAAAAGTTAGGTGCAAAAGTTAGACTTTACCGTCAGAAAGAGCGTGTTTGGCGTGACTCAATTTAGAGCAATCCCCACCTCCGATTTTTTACTGACCGATATCACCGGCTGCAGTCGATGCTCAAGGTAGCTGCTGTAGCGTTGATTAAATGCTAAGAAGAAGATGCAAATGGACGCCAGGCCTATTAGACCATAGAAGCTCAGTCGTTTTGACATCCTTGGTCCTATGGAGATCACAAATATCTTTGTAGCACTGTAGTACGAATGGAACATTGAATGTTTCTTGATTACGACTTTAATGATATTAGCTCATTAATGATATCACAAGCTGTTATCTTATATTTATAGATATAAACACTAGTATTTCATATGTCATACACACTTAAATTCTAAGCACAAATGTACATGTATAAGTTATACTTTTATCTTTTATTTCCAGTACAATTATGATAGTTGAATCTTATTACAGTGTTAATGAAATTTTAAAATGGCTTCTATAACACAAATAAGATATTCATAAGAAACTTCTACAACTGTTTAAATATTTTCACAAACAATTATATCTTATCTTAAAACTAATAGCAACAATAAGAAGCAAAACAAAGTGGAGCTAATATCTATACGAGAATTACGTTAAGTAGAAATTTCACCTACATGGTTAAAGATCATTAAATCGCATTAAAAGGCCAATTAACGTCGCGTAAATGATTCGGATGATTTGTTATCAAGTCGTATTTCATTAACAAAAGTTCCAAATCCATGGTAATATTTTTATTAATATTCTATGGCAGAGAATGACTACTCCGTCGAACGATGTTGTGATATAAACAGCTGATGTAGAATAAATTCCAAACAAATATCAGCACCGAAATAAAACGCCAGACATGTTAATGATTTGCTGCACGGTCAAAATGGTTCTAACAACAGCGAGATCTCACCTCGGGATCAAACAGTTCGTTGCATTTGGACACTTCCAGCTGTGAGTTATGTGACTGTCGAAAGACCTCACGTTTTTCTTAACATCTTAAAGTAGCGACGGGAAGCACACGACCAACGTGTAACGTTCATCGTGGTCCACTGACGCAAAAAGGCCCGTATTGCGGCTAGCATAAGGTAACCACATGATCCACGGGTTCACGTGTATGTAGGATCTAGTAGAGGCAGATAGCGATAGCGTCGAGTTCAATATATAAATATATACTTACACTGGTTTATGAAAATATTTGAACATTTACTACACAATACTTTTATGTCCATATTGTACGTGTTACATAAAAATATAAAATATTATGTTATTTAACGTAAAACGCTATATAAAATATTTTGAAATTTGAAACCATTAACACTAATGAGATAAAACTGTTGTGATTATATTGTACAAATTTGAAGCTAGTCTGAGAGTGTATATAGAAATTACAAGATTATCTACTGCATTATTCAATTAGTAAAAAATTAATATATAGCAGTACGAGCAGCCACCTTACGCACATAATAAGATAAATACATTTAAGATAAATAGTCCTAATAAATACTGAAATTTATTAAAGCACAATTTTCTGAATATCTTGTAATTTCTCCGTATATTTTCAGATTGATTTCAAATTTTACTAATATAATCATGATAGCTGGATTTTATAATAGTTTTAATGAAATTTTAAATTTTCCTATAACACACATATGTAATTATATCCATAACAGACATCTACAAGTATTCGAAAACTTTGTGAATTCGTGTATTTTTAAATCCGAATGAAATTCAATACACAAGTTTTACTTCATAACTGTAAATTTTTATGCAAATAATTATTTTTATGAATATAATTAAATAAATGGAATTTAGGTAGGAGATTGTTTTATCCACTAAATATCCACTAAGTATTTTTATATTTTTCAATTTCCCATAAATGCGTACAAATCTCATAATATATAATGGTCCGCCTATATTGTATGTACCTGCGATTTCTGCAAGCTGTTTTCGAACTTCGGAACGAATAAATACTTGTAGGTTTAAAAAATCTTTGTTAGATTAGTATTATGTACATACTTCAATATTAGAATGAATCGATATTCCTTCAATTACCAATTGAGTCGTGAGAGCGCAGACGGAATAAAGATAGACGTGATATGCATTTTATGGTAGGTGATTACACACAGTTAATTTGCTAATAATGTCAAGTTGAAAATTGCATTAAAAAATAATTTAGATAAGTGAATGAGATTTTATACTGATAGTGGATAAGATAAAAATCTGCTGTGCGGGAGAGGTCGGTATTACGATGATGACCTTACCGATCAAAATCAATATGGCGTCCAACTTATGTAAACTTATGATATTCATAATTATTAAAATAACTCTGTGTTTTAAAACTAGTATTCTTTGACTCCACTCGTCAAAATTTATCATATGTAATAAAAAAGGTCACAAATTCCGAGTTCCCCAAAATGGAGTTCAGTCCTAATTTTATTCGGCGCTAAATATACATAATCCACTTAACTTTATCAGCAAACATCTGTAACCAAACCTCTAAAGAAATTTCCAATTACAGTGGAACCCCGTTTATATAAACTTCATTTGTTCGAATGAAATTTTACACGTATTAAGTTGATTGAATGATTGATTGAGCCCAATTGAATTATCTCTTACAGGTTGAATCGACATATCTGAAAAATCATAATGAGGAAAATAAGCGAATTATATGTATCTCGAAAAATTCATATAAACAAAGTTTCACCGTGCACAACAAATCGTATAAAAGGTAAATGGCTGTTCTTTCGGAAAAGTTTATGCTCCAAAATAGATTTCCTTTAAACAAAAACAATGTTTTTTTTGCTAAAAAATCGATCATCAAACAACATTCCAGTTTAGAGAAATAGATTTAAAGAAATAGGTTTAGAGAAATATAATAAATTCCAAATAAAAAATGATGTGCAAAACCATATATATAAGGAAAAAGTGATTTACGACGAAACAAGAGGAAATTTGGTTTCAGTTTGGAAAACTGAAAAGTTATCTCAATATTTGGATCCCCGAGGATCCTTCTCTTAAACACTTCTTTTATCTCCAAAGAGTTTATTTTCAAAATATCAACCAAATCGGAAGACTGTAATTTCGTCAAGAAACTGGAGGAAGATGAGGAGTTTGTCGACTATCAGTGAAATTCACGGAAGTACGCCAGACGTCGCCACAGCTGCCTGGGGGTTGGCCATGGTGTTGATGGGCCCAGCAAGGCAGTCGGATGCTGTTGCTCGAGCAGTGCGGTCGCTGTGAGGGGTGTAACGCTTTTGAATCGCATGTTTCTCTCGTCTCCCTTTCTCTTTTGATCCGATGTCACGCTTTTAGACTCGGATTTTTCGGAGTCCTCGCATCGTTAAGGTCTTGGTTGCGTCTTCACACGCGTCGTATCTGTTCGTCTCTATATGCTGGCGTATTTCTCCCTTACGGAGCAGCCCGAACATACGCACTCTGCAACGTCGTGGGGTATATTCTCGAATTGCGTAGACCTCGTGATCGTCGTGCGTGGAATAAACGTGAATCCACGCGAGTTT